AAGGAACGGGTACCCGAATGGTTGACTGAGGTGGTGGCCACAAGATGATTTCGTCTTGGAATTCTTTTCTTCTATGGGGACGGAGCACGTGCGAGGACCCAAAATTCGTTCTTAAATCTCGGCTTTTCCAATGTTCTTTTTCTCTTCCAATGCTATTTCTATCTTTAGTGTTCTTCGTAACCCTTCCGGCCGAAGCAACACCGAACTCGAGACCGCTCTCTCTGACGGTCTTTCCTCCTTCGGTCCAAAGCCAAAAGTGTCCTTATCGTCCCCCACTTGCCCTCTGGGCTATCTTCACTCCTTTGTCCCGAAATTGGGTCACTGACCACCCACATTCAGACGAAAGTTCCAGAAAGTATAGAAACAGAACAAAGAGAAAGGGGAATAGAATATTCTTATATATACATATATAAAATAAAAAACAACGAAAATATACTGGTGCACCACCACAGGTGTTAGATGACCAGCATGATTTCATTGCTAACAGAAAAGTATGATGTACAGGGCCAAGACACTACAGTACTAATTTGAGGTGGAGAACATATATTTTAAATGAAATAAATTAAAAATATGATTAAAAATTGCAGCCTGGCATTGTGATGATGTCACAATAAATAATTGCTTGTATTGGATTGAATGTTCATCCAACTTAGAGTTGGAAATAAAGACTTTTACAGTACTAAATTTACACTGTATTAAATTTTCAAATTTTGAATAATAAAGATGTTATGAGAACCAAATGTATTTTTCTTTTATCATCTTTTCATTTCTTTTAATCACTTATGAGTTGTATAACATAATTACACTTGCATGTTGTGGTATTTCAAATTCATGTTGGTATTCCATCCATGCGCTTCATATAATTTCATAAGTTGTTTGAAAGCTCAGAATTTGAAAACAGTTGTATTTGATATTCACCTGACTATGTTAGCTTTATGCTATCGAAAGTGCTTGTGAACTCATTTATACTCTAAAATTCACCATTGGTAACGCCACAACATGCAAGTATATTTATGTTATACAGTTAAAAGTTGGCATAAAGTGTACGTACATTACTTTTATTCACTTATGAGTTATCAAAATGGTCTATAAGTTCTCTTGTAAGATTTATTTTTTAACTGATTCATTTTTACTTAATTGTAAACTGACTAAATAAAACTCTTAATTTTATTTTAGGAACTAGGATACTATTTGTCTTATATAAGCATTTTTGGAAGCTTAAATTCTAGCTTTAGACCTGTCAGAATTCAAACAGATTTAAATTAACATTTATCCAAAGCAGAGATCACCAAACTTTTTTGATCTGCGACCCCCTACAACTTTTCAAAACCTCACATTGACCCCACCAAAAAGTTTGTGTTACAAGCAAAAGCAAAAAGAAAATCTTACTATTTTTAATACATTTCTTTTAATTTTACATTTTTTACATTTACAGTAGAGCATCGATTATCCAACTCAATTGGGGACTGGGGTTGGTCGGATAATTGCCAGCTAAAAGTCGGATAACCGAAAAGTATGAAAAAATCCATTATTAGTGTAGTATATTATTATATCCCATGTAATTAGTATATTAGTATATCGTTATTAACCTACTTTGCGTTGAATTTTCATCGATGTTAAGCCTAACAAAACTTTTTTTAAAATAATAATCATTGTTATTCTATCGTTAAAAATTATTTTTAAATTATTTTATTGCTCTCAAAACAAACCACCACTTGTAATTAGAAAATTAAGCCTTGTTTAAATACTGGCCTCCCTTTCATGGTTGAGCCAGTGTTGCCAGCTAAAACACGTAAACATTTAACAAAAATAATATTAAAGTAGCCAAGACATAGCCAAATATTGTAGCGCCACATCACTAGCGGACATTTGAATTTGCTGACTAGAATGCAGTCAGTTAACCAAGGTGATGGTTAATCGGGGGTCGGATAATCGATGCTCTACTGTATTGTATATATGTGAAATACTAAAATTAAATGAACAGTGGCTTAAAAATGGCTGTAGAGATGCTAATAATGTCAGCATACTGAGAATCAGACATGAGCTTATGAATGCTGTGGATGCTTGACATATACTATATAAGTAATAACTGGAGCATGGACTTGGCAATTTCCATCTGTCCTGTGCGACTTGATCCATAGCCATTTTACACATTGATGGGTAGCTGTACCATTAAATTCATTGAAACACTATTCAAAAACAATAATATGTATACAGTAGAACCCCAGTTAACGAACTTAATCCATTCCGCGACTCCGTTCGTTAACTGAATTGTTCGTTAACCGAAGCAATTTTTCCCATAGAAATTAATGCAAATGCAATTAATCCGTTCTAGTCTCCGAAATTTTTGTGATTTTATTTGTAATATACAGTAGATTTTCTTTGATGAAAATGTAGGAAAACGTAGTATCTATCATTACAGCAACAAACATGTAAACTTTGTTTAATAAAATAGCACTGTACATACCTTCGTTTGTTATAGGTGGTGGCAGAAAAGTGGAGATATACAAACCTTAATGCTTAGAAGGGAATCCCCTCCAAAAAATAACAGGTAGCACTTTATTGGAAGATTCTTCGAGTCAAAGTCTCTTTTGGTAAGAAAGCTTACCAGTGGCTAAGCGGTCTTCGTACCCTGAACACGGGGAGTTCGCTCGCACCTCGCTCAGACGGGCTGGCCACGTAAAGTTTTCCGGGTTTTCTCCACATCTGTAACGCCTAAATAGGGGCCAGTTTCCCTTAAAAACACCTCCTAGAAAGCATTCCCCCTAGGCAGATCGCCCAAGTGTTGCGTTGCCATAACTTAACAAACAAACAAACTCTTTCCGTAAGGAACAAGAAATTGATCTAAAGTTGATTGTCTTACTCTTTTAATCAATTTTTCTCAAATGCGATAGAGCATTGTCGTTCATATTGCGTTGTTGTTTTTTATTGCCACTATGACTTTTTTCATTCTTGGATGCCATATTGATTAAATATATAAATCACAAAACTGAAAAAAGAAGTATAGCACAAACACTCGGAAAAGCAATGTTTAACTCGTGCATGCCTAACACCAACTAAAATTTGACACAAAATACCATTATGTTCATTATCTGAGACAAAAATTTTGCAAAATAAAAGTTTGTTAACCGATTTGGTCGTTAACCAGGACGTTCGTTAACTGGGGTTCCACTGTAGTTATATTTGTAATTTTTAGTTTCAATTTTTCAATCAACCCCCAATAATGTTATATCGACCCCTGGAGGTTGATATCGACTACTTTGGCGACCCCTGATCCAAAGTCTATTGTAGTATAAATTAGTTGTACATAAATAAATTTATGAATAATTGTAGAGTAATTGTATCCTGACTACTAAAACAGAGTTAAGTGTTTTATTTGATCAATTTATGTTTGAGTTTTGTTATATCTTAAGTTTCCTCTTTGAAAATTTAAACAAGTATGAATGAGATAGGATTCCTTGTAAATGAATATACTTAAATAAATGTTTAGTCCTCAGTAAATTTTGGAATCTAATTTTACTCTTATAGTTTTCTATTGAGAATAAATATTGTTGAAATATTTACAGGTAACTAAATTTGTTTGAAAAATTAATAATATGAATACAATAAAATTAGACTTTAAAGAAGTTATGAATCTTCAATAAAGAAAGAAAGAAAGAAAATATACATAGGTGAGAAGAAGAAACACTTTAAGTAAAAATAAGTTTTCCTTCTCATCTACTATTTTCTTGAAAGATTATGTTTAAGATTTTGAAATGAAGATCATTGTGAAAATTTTAGGAAATATTAATCATCAAAATAATTTTTTATTAAACTTTGCTCATTTCATATGCAAAATAGAGTATCAAACACTTTGAAATCTGTTGTTGATTTAAATGACATAAAGTAATACTTTAATTAATTTTAATAATGATTTTATTTAATAATTAAGTAGTAATGAATATTCGATTCATTAAATTATATTTGGAAAAATATCTTTGACTTCAAATACACAAATAGTTAATCTATAATTTCTAAATGAATAAATTTGTTTTCCAGTTACATCTGATGTGAAACCATCTACAGAAGATTATCACCATAAACATGAAGACACATGGGTTTGTCAGCATTGTACTTACATTAATGCACCAGGTAGCAATATTTGTGAAATATGTTGTAAAACGACTCTTCCTGAAACATTTATAACAAAAGAAAGTGAAGATAAAGAAAAACTTGAATTTGTTCATGGAGAAGATGTAATGAGAGAAGGTCCTGACCAGGTTAGAAAATTTACATTTTGTTAAAAATAATAGATAATAATATTAATGTCCTATTATCTTTAAATTTGAAAAATATCAATTACTCATTTTTATTAAGTCTAAATCATATTTTATTTTTCTGAATGTTTTAATTAAAGAAATTAAAATGTGAAGATTTTGAACAGACAACATTAACTTCTGACAAGATTCAGCATGTTGAAAAAACTTCTTCAAAATTAGATACTGTTGAACAAGCTTCAGAAATTTTATCTGAAGAAGCAACAACAGAAACTGAAAAGCATGAAGTAACATTAGATGTTAGTCACCCTGGTGATCAGAAAGAGTCATCCTGTCAGACAAGTCATGAATCTCTGGGAGAATTTTCGTCACGTGAAAATTTAGAATTTAGTTCACATCCCTCAAGAGCAGTAATGTCGGATGTATCTCCCCAGACGTCTCCTCTTCTTGGAAGAAAGGGACTCCGTCGACCGACACCACCACCACTTGGGTTTTCACCTTTGTTTGGAAGGAGTGCACATGCTGGACATTCACAACAATTAATATCACGCACAACAGGTCACAGTGATTTAACCGTTGCAGGTCGTGGTCTTCTTCCACATGAACCAGTCCACGATAGTTCGGGTTATGGAACGACAGATTCTCTTTATCACAGCTGGAGTCACCCATCTCTTTTTGGTGATGCTAGTCATGGCCAAGATCGATCGTTTTCTCCTCGTCCATTGAGTCCAAGAATAAGTGAAACTAAAAGGGGAGAAAGTGGGTTATCTGCTAGTGATGGTGTTCAAGTAGGCTATGCTACACAGAAATCAAAGGTATGAATTTTTTATTTTTCATATGTTCCAAATACAGAGAATAAAACATTCAAGGAAACTAATTTTTCATAAACAGTATTTTTGGACTGACTAAATCTGCTTTCAGTACAACTTACTACTTTTAATGACAAGTGGTCTTTCTAAAATTTCAGGCTATGGAACTTGGGAACTTACTACTAAAAAAATGCTTCTTAAAGCACAAATTTAAATATTTTTAAAATTTTGGTTATAGCATAACACTTGAAATGCAACCATTTAAAGCAGTTGATTTAGTTAATAATTGTATTTTATAATTGTATTTTTACAGCAAGTTTTCTTCAATGAAAGTCTATGTAATCAGTGAGACAGCTTCATATAGTTATTACAGTACAATAAATCACTCATCAAATTGTAAGAAGCCAGAAAAAGTGCTTAAAAGCAATCTGATAAACATTTTTGAAATTTTTGCAATTTTATCTTTAGATCTAATATCGTGAAAATGAAAGAATTATTTTAACTATTTCATTCCAAATCAAACATTTTCATTCAAAAGTTTTGAAATATATTGTTCAAAAATGAATTTCTTTGTGTAGCACAAGATCTATGACATAGTCTCAAAGTTGATATAAGTTCAGAATTTGTATCTCTCTATACAAACATTTATCAATATATACAATACATAAACATTTTTGACCTATTAATAGGCCTGCTTCAGGCTAATGTATTTATATGTTTTAGTTTTTTTAGATCCAAATATACAATTCAAAGGTCACATTGAAACTGGGATACAATTATTTATTCCAGTTTCTTCCAATGACCCTATAATTACAATGTGCAGCATTCAGAGCTCTAACTAAGTGAATATTGAATTATACGAGCGCTAAGGTGGCTTTTCTTTTTTGCTAGACTTATTATACCATCAATAAAAAGGAGGACAAGCTTTTTCTAATGCTTGTCCTCCTTTTTATTGATGGTATAATAAGTCTAGCACTAAAGGAAAGACACCTTAGCGCTTGTATAATTCAACACAAGACTAGACAAGAAGTGTATTGCATAAATGAATATTCACACACTGAGCAAACATCCTTACACACATGAGGAAAAAATACATTGGAAACATCACAGTCTAACGTGGATACCCAAGAAAGATGATACAAAGATTGGCTTCTACATATACAAGTAAGGCAAATAAACATTCTTCAACTAATTCTAGCAATCATGAAAACACACAGATAAGTCCAATTGTATAATTGTTGAGTACAATCAAAGATGCCATTGAATACATAGAGAAATTGCTGAACATAAAGTAGCTGCATTTACATACCAGCACAATCCCTGTGCATAAACTGTTATGCAATGATAAAGATGAATATTTTGCAATTACCAGGGTATATAGTGTCCCAGTTTTGGATGAGAGATTTAATTGTAATTTCATATATATTAGATTCACCAATGGATCACTTAACAAAAAGCTAGTAGAAAACAAATATGACATTGTAAAGAAAAAACGGATCACTACTCTCTCAATCTTTGCCTCCAAAATGGATGTTAAAGCTAACTCAGGACAAGTTCAAACTAATTAGACCTATTGTTCATATGAACCAAGCCGTTGATCACTTGAAACCCTGGAAATATTCAAGGTACAAATAGAAGAGAATGCCTCAGTTTCAAAGACAGTGAGAAGTTATCAATTGCCCAGAAATCTTTTTATGATGAATTGAGAACAACTCAGGAAAATGGAGTTTTTAATTAAAAGAAAATTTACACTTGTAACATCAAACTGAACCTTTTGTTTTAATTTTATTAAATTGCACATCATTAAATAATTTCTTAATTTTGTATGAAACACACTTGTGAATTTCAAAATTGTTTCAAAGTTTGAATTTTGCAATGTTCATGTTAGAACTCACATATTCCAAAAATAGAATGTATAAATACAACCTGATGCAAGCCTATTAATTAATTAAAAACATCTGTATATTCATTAAAATTGTTTGCTGGTGTGAAAATAAGGTTATTTTTTAAGTCATTTGTGAAATCCAATTTTTATGAGTTGTTTTTTTTATGCCAGAGTACCTATATCTAATAGTCAAAAATCTCATTTCACTTTTAATTAATGAATATTTTCACCACCAAAGTAGAGAAGTGCCTATTGGATCTCTAGTTGCAGGAAATTCTGTGGAAGTCTGTCTGATGTTTCTTGAATCTTCCAATAATGAATGAATTTAGTCACAAGATAGCAGTAGTGTTCTGTTGATATAGATGACATCCTTTTAATATAAAATGGAAAAGATGTATACCAAGATTCATTAGCAAAGATTAATGCAAATAATTTCACTCTACAAATGGATCAAATACATGAAGCAACTGTCTAGTCCTAGATATGAACATCTGTGTTAAGAATGAAAACAAACGTACAGGTATCCAGGGACGGATCTAGGTTTTTTGGGACCTATAGCTTATTGAAGTCCAATGGGGCCCCATTTTTTGTTAGATTAAGAATCTTTAAATTGGGGTTTAAAATTCATTTTTAATAACATCAAAATAGAGTTAAAACATATTTACTTATGAAATGGTGTTGACAAACTTTATATCTTATATAAAAAAAACATAAGAAATAAAGAAATATTTACATTGATTAATTACTGACCAATTACATTAAATTGATTACAACAAAACAAATAATACTATAAATTATCATTATTATTATATTATTAATATTAACTATTTTTTACTGTATAATAAGTGCTCATTGTTAATGAAAAAGTATTAAAAATTTATGATGATAATTCAATTTTTGTGGGCCTGTGACACATGGGGACCCACTGCTTAAGCTCTATTAGTCCCTATGTAGATCCATCCCTGCAGGTATCCGTCATATATAAGGACCTTGAATAAGTTCTCGCTGTTTTTTTGTGAAAATTAACACTTTATTTAAAAAAAGCCGCAATAAACATGTCACTGAAAGTATTGTCCATCTAGTAAGACACCAACCGAATGCCGTAAATTAATCGGGCTATTTTAATGCTAAATTCTAAATAAATTACGTAATTAATTTTGCTTTCTCCCAGCGGTTCCAAATTATTTAAATTAATTAATATATTTATAATTATTAATTTTAATAAGAGATGGCGCCTAACGCTTACCTCTAGTGCCAAATTAATTACGTAATTTATTTAGAATTTAGCATTAAAATAGCCCGATTAATTTACGGCATTCGGTTGGTGTCTTACTATATTGGATATCGGGTTTGGAGATGTTTATTTATATATATTACGCCTTGCCGGGGCTTGCGATGGCCGGTTGAGTGCCTTATAGGAGTAGGACGTGGGCACTGAATGTGTCCCCAGCCGGCATTGTAATAACCGTCGATGGTTACATAGTTATACGCTGGAAGAGGAGATCGGAACGGAGGTCCGGATAGCGTAACTGGCAACGCATCTGCACGGTAAGCAGGAGTTGTGGGTTCGAGTCCCGCTCCGGGCCGATTTTTTCTCCCAGCGGTTCCAAATTATTTAAATTAATTAATATATTTATAATTATTAATTTTAATAAGAGATGGCGCCTAACGCTTACCTCTAGTGCCAAATTAATTACGTAATTTATTTAGAATTTAGCATTAAAATAGCCCGATTAATTTACGGCATTCGGTTGGTGTCTTACTATATTGGATATCGGGTTTGGAGATGTTTATTTGTATTGTCCATCACTAGCCACTACTTTCTCCCATCGTTCAGACATACATTCATTTTTATATACGTAGTACGATCCAAAAGTTCGGGGACTTGGCTTAAAATTCCTTACGTTAAAAAATTTATATTGCTGATGCATAACCACCTTTAAAGTAATCACCTTGGGCAACAATACACTTTTGCCAGTGCTTGTATAACTTCTCGATGCACTGCTGGAAGCCATTTTTTTGAAACCTCCTGTAAGGCCTCCTGCGATGCTGCTCTCACATCATCTGATGACACAAAACGGCGTCTCTGCAAATGCTTTTTCATTGATGGAAACAAATAAAAATCACATGGGCTAAGTCCGGGGAATAGGGGGTGTGGAAGCACATTAATTTGAGTTTTGGTGAGAAACTGTGTGACCATTTGGGACCTACATGCAAGTGCGTTGTCATGCAGAAGATACCAGTCTCCACTGTTTACTGTTCTGCCTTTGGGAATAAATTCTGAATGAACAATTCCTTGAGAATCATAAAATACCTCCATCGTGACTTTTCCTTTGCTCGGTGCTTGTTAAGATCTTCCATTAAAATACACTGGCAACTAGTCTTTGATAAGTGAGTAGCCGCAGCGATTTTTTCAAGAGTTTGGCGACATCTTTGTGAACACATTGAGAGACCAACTCAACATTTTCCTCGTTCCATGAAGTCGAAGGTCAGCCAGAGTGTTCATTGTCTGCAATGAATTCTTGGCCCTCTTTAAAACACCGATGCCATTTGTATGCCTTTGATTTCACCATAGTAAAATCACCATACACCTTTCTTAGCAATTTTAAAGTCTCCGTAAGTGTTTTACGTAAGTGCTGACAAAATTTAATGTTGCAGCGCTGTTCTTGAAACTCCATTTTTATTACATTGCAAAACAAAGGTAACTATCTCTGAAAGAAAACAACAGTGCTCGCGGTTTAATCATGTCACATGGATGAAACCAACCTGAACACGTAGGAAAGGTTTGATAGAATCAATTTCATATGCTGTAACTTCAAATACATGCTTTTGTTGTCATACATTACCGCAGTCCCCAAACTTTTGGATTGTACCACATATATACATTATGAATATGAGCCCAAATGGTTAGGAGTTGAAAGTTAAAATTTGGTACACAGTTAGGGTACATTACGAGAATGCACACTAAGAAGGGATTTTTCAAAATTCCTCCCCACAGAGGAGAGGGACAGGATTAAGGCTTAACACTTCCATCAACAATGGAAGTGTTAAGTAACAATGGAATTGTTAAGAGAAAGCGACGTGCAAGACACAGATGCAGTTTTTTCGTTTTTGTGGGAAATCGAACATATTTTTAGACCCATCTAAAAATTCTGTAATCAGTCCGGAAACAGGGGGATCCAATTCTTGCATTCTGTGAAAACGGGTAAGGTTGACTATAACGTAATAATGTTAATCTTTCCTATCATTACTTTTGCCCGATCTAAGCCGGGCCTACCTGCTAGTAAGAATATAATTTACAGCAATGTTAATACAAAATCTCTTTTGCTCTCAATAGAAAAGGTACAAACACAAGTTACAATAAAAAAAAAAGAAGGATGTACATAATAGGTCTTAGAGCAACAAACTTCTATGAAAAAACTTGACAGACAAGCTAAGAATAGTTTCAATATATTGCTTTACCATGTTTGACTATATCAAGAATGAAAGAGTTACTTCCACAAACAAGAAAGGTGAAAGTTTATCAGATTCCCTTAGTGGAAAAAATAAAAAATGAGATTAAATTCTATGTGGGAATCATGTACCAGCAGCTAAATAGCAGACTTATTGAACACAGAAGATAGGGGCAAAGCTACTGGGGGTTTGAAGAAGCATCTCAGCCTCCTAACGTTGGCATATTCTGCTGAGGATGCATTTACTTTTTCAGTCAGTAGAGTGGGATACGAACATCCAGTACATGACGAAGAACTAGTGAGCAGTAAATGTGTTTGAGGCCTCAAGTGTTTATAAAAATAACATTATTATACCAACCAAAACACTCAAAAAACTATTAATTGCAGTAAAACTTTAATTACTACTTAGTAACATTTTTGGCCATATTTTACTGATCTTCCTTGGGTAGAATGTAAAATCAAATGCAAGTTAATATCAAATAGAACAGTAATTTAAAAAAGACATTCTACGAAGGGTATTTTTTAAATAAGGTTCCTTTTTTAATAAGAAGAAAAATACTGTAAATATCATTAAAATATTATTTTTTTTCATATTCTACATACTTTTTTCTACTTTTCTAGATAATTTCCATTTTTGTTCATACATTTGTCATACCGCTCAACAAGTTTTTGAATTCCAACTTCAAAGAAATCTGCTGCCTGTGAAAAAGCCAAATCCATGACTGCAGTTTTCACTTCTTCGTCGTCGTTGAACTGTTGACCACCAAAATCCTTTAATTATCGAAAGAAGTGAAAATCACTGGATACAAGGTCTGGACTGTAAGGTGGATGATCCAGTTGTTCCCATCCAAAAGAACTGATTAGACCTTGTGTTTGTGCGGAAACATGTGGCCTTGCATTGTCATGGAGCAACATCACACTGGAATACAGTAGACCATGCTGCTTGTTTTGTATGTCATGCTGGAATTTTCTCAAGGTCACACAATATGCATCAGAGTTGATTGTTGTGCCTCTTGGCATAAAATCCACTAACAAAATCCCTTTCCTGTCCCAAAAGACAGTTGCCATGATCTTTCATGCTGAAATTGTCTGTTTGGCTTTCACTTTGGTTGGCAACCAGCAGCTAAATAGCAGACTTAATGAACACAGAAGATAGGGGCAAAGCTACTGGGGGTTTGAAGGAGCATCTCAGCCCACTAACGTTGGCATATTCTGTGTTGCCATTCCATTGTGTTCCATTGCAACAATGTGTGTTGCCATTCCATTGACTGTTGCTTGGACTCAGGAGTCATGTGAGACACCTAAGTCTCATCTCCTGTAACGATGTGTTCCAACAATTCATCTCCTTCCTGATTGTATCAAGTCAAAAACAATAAAGCACTCCCCAATCTTTTAGTCTTGTGATCACCAGAAAGCAGTCTTGGAACCCATTGAGAACACAATTTTCAATAAATCAGTTTCTCTGAAACAATTGTATACAAAACTGACCTTGAAACCTGTAGAAATTCAATTGATAACATTGAAATTGTGAATTGTCAGTCCTCTCAAATTTTGTTATCCATATTGTGAACCAAATCTTCATAAATCAGAGAAGGTCAGCCAGGGTGTGACTCATCAAGCTCATTAACCTGCCCGACCTTGAACATTCTCACCCACTTTTGAACTTTACTGTCACTCATAGCATTATCACCATAAACTTCACAATTTCCACTGCTGCAAAGTTTCTTGCACTCAAGAATCTTATTAATAAATAATAATAATATAGGAGAAAGTAACAACAAAGATAAAAAATAAGATTAGTAATTCTAAAGTCATAAGACATTGTCCTATTCTTTTTAATTTCAGCACAAAACTGGATATGTATAAATGAAAAATTACACACTTTACAACCTTAAAATTTCAGTAAATAACTTCAATAGACAAATGTTTTTGATCTATTATTAAGATCATTTCAGATCCTTCAACATTTCAGTTTTTACTCCACGAAACACCAGGATGTGTTAAATAATGTACTCTTAGAACCTATAACCAGTGTAACATAAAAAAAACAAAAGATAAAGTTTACCACAAATGTTTTCGAACTGCTGTGAGTTCTTTTTCAAGTGTAAAACGGAATTTCTGATGGATCAGAGCAAATGGTTAAGGAAATTTGAGAAACATTCGAAGGTGTTATATGAGACTCATGCATATTTGTATGATTGACATATCACGACACTTAAAGTTCGGAGACTCATGCATATTTGTATGATTGACATATCACGACACTTAAAGTTCGGAGTCCATCAATGCCTGTCAGGCCAGTGACAAAACCAATTCATCTTCAAAATTGATGCAGTTGTCATTGAGGGTCGATTTGTAAATGTGAATGGCCTCTAGCCACTTAAGATGTTTTGTGTGTCGACTCTCAATGACAACTGCATAAATTTTAAAGATGAGTCGGTTCTGTCACTGGCCTGACAGGCATTGATGGACTCCGAACTTTAAGTGTCGTGATATGTCAATCATACAAATATGCATGAGTTTCATATAACACCTTCGAATGTTTCTCAAATTTCCTTAACCATTTGCTCTGATCCATCAGAAATTCCATTTTACAACTGAAAAAGAACTCACAGCAATTTGAAAACATTTGTGGTGAATTTTATATTTTGTTTTTTTTATGTCCCACTGGTTATAGGTTCTAAGAGTATATTATTCAGTTTTTATCATTGCCCTAAGGTAAAATTCAGCAAAAAACATTAGTAGTTAAAGTTTTTCTGCAATTAATGGTCTTTTGAGTGTTTTGGTATCTGTCACTGCAGTTTCCAGTTGTTATATTATACCAACCTATGAAATTTTTGATGTGTTACAAAACACATCAAAAATTTTTAAGCTTGATTGCTTATTTCAAAGTATTTTAGGGATATTTCAATCCAAAATTTTCTTTTTAAAGTATAATTTGCTGAAATTTCTATAAGGTGTTTTTGATTCTTTCTCTTTTAAAAAGAATTAGTTAGCATTAGTAGATTCGACAAAAAGATTTTAATCCATAGTAACTTTTCTAAATGAGGGAGATACTCCCCAATATTTGTATACAAATAACATGATTTGAGGTAATCTCATTCATAAGTAGAATACAACTAAGATTTTCAAAGCAAGCAAGTTCTTCTGTAAGTACACATTCACTCTGAAGTTTAAAGTTGAAAGGCTTTAATTTTATTCTTGAATTTTAAAGTATATTACTCTGGTATTCTTCATTCCAACATTTACTTTGTTTAGATATACAGATATGTACAAAAAAGTATGTAATTTTTTGTATTCAGCATTTATCTTTCAATTTTCAAACAAGTTCAAAACAATAATCAGACAAAAAGAAATGATTTCTTCATGTAGTTCATGAAATTGAGCAAACACTTTTTCATAGAAGGCCAGCAAACTTCAGCATAAAGTAAATTTTTATGCAAACTCTTCATATCTTCAGAGAACTAAAAATCTTTGAATTAAGCAGTCTTGACTATAAAAGTCACTGTTTTTATTACAACATTCAATATTTCTTTTAAGTCTTCTGGCATTCACTTTATTACCATCCATTTAGTGTAAAATGATGAAGATAACAATGGATATTCTTGATGTCCTAATTTTTCCTTTTTATGCATTCCACAAAAAATGAAAATTTTCCAACTGTAGTTACAGCTCTATCAATGTAAATACTTGAAAATAATTGCCATTGTATTTTGTTTTAGTTGTTGCTGTATTACTGTATTGTATTTTAATGAATTAATTTATTTAACATCAAGAAATAATAATCATAATTAAAATAATACAAAAATTAATATTAATAAAAAAAAACTAAACTATGTAAGCAATTACTATAAAATATCAAATATAAACAAACTCATTTTTTCCTTTTAGATATAACTTATATCTGAGTATTAGCGTAAATGAAAGGAATAGGTATTACATTGTTTTGTCTCTGACTATTTTAATTTGAATGGAAATATTCTTTTTATGGTTCCTGATATATTAATGTTATATTGATATTAGTATAATTTAATATTTATTAGTTAATGCTTAAAAACATTGTTTGGGAATGTTTTGCAGTTACAAATAATCCGTTAGATGGCATTTGTCTCTGAATATTAATATTAATTACACATATTTATAACTACATTACTTATTTATTTTGTGAATATGTTCTTAAAAGTTTCTTTTGTTATTCAGTTATTTTATTTTAAATTGTATGACATAATGCAGTTTTGACAGCTGTCTCTGTGACTGCAGTGAGAATAACATTTTTAATCACATTGGCTGCTAAATAATGAAAATACGAGAGGTGTTCAATGATGAGCACAAAACATATTTTTTTTATACTTTTATATTATTAAATGTGTAAAAATAAAAATATTTGATTTGAATTCATAAAGCACTAATGGTTTTGAAAGAAAATATTTAAAGAATCATAAATTATTACATAAATTTTTCTAGATTCACTGGGAATCTGATCCTGGACAACTGAGCAGAGATAGTGATTTTGTACAAAGTCGACTTTTAGGAGAGAATCATAATGAAGAGTTAAAGAATTTAATTAGAGTAATTATATTATATATGTATATATTTAAATTGGTGTCATATTTATTTATGTATGTATATATGTACATAAAATATAATTTAAAAAAATATTTTTTGGTTAGGAAGCCGAGCAATACGGATTTTCCATAGAAGATGTTCAAGTTGCATTAGAGAGATGCGGTCGAGAAGATCCATTGGTTTGGTTAGAAGAGAATTGGCAAAGAATGATAGAAAATGTTGCTGCTCTTGCTACTGATTATAGTGATGACAAAAGTAGAATGGAAATTGGAATTGTCTCACCAAATGAAGCGAGAGATGCTCTTAGAACACACAGAGGGGATATGAGAGTTGCAATTTTAGAGTGTGTCAACAGCAGAAAATTAAAGGTAAAAATACACTTACTGAGTTTAATAATTTAAATTGCTTAAATTTATATTTTCAGCTAGTCAGTTGTAGATTTTGTTTAATTTTAATTTATGTCACTAAAAAAAAAATCAAGTAAAAGTTCCTCAAAAATTGTGGTGTGATAAGTTCGGTTAAATAGTCAAAATAGTAACTATAAAAGGATAAAATACTATAGAAAAAAGGACTAATAAATATGATTTTTATAATGTTTATAAAATCTCTGATTTTCAGAGTTTTTATAAACATTATAAAAATTATATTTATTCATAAAGCTTCTAGTCCTTTTTTCTATAGTATTTTATTCTTTTATAGCTATTATTTTGACTATTTAACCGGACTTATCACACCACGATTTTTGAGAAACTTTTACTTGGTTTTTTCCCCCTTTCTCTTTATTTTTTATTACACTCTAAATCTCCAAGATGGCACATTTCAGGTTTTCTATCCTTCTTCAGTTGGAGTTTTACAATTTGATATTAGTATACACTTTTAAAAAATATTTTCTTTCATTAGATGGTATTTTCATCATTTTTAACAGTATACACTTGTAGACTTGTCTGTTTTTTAAATTTTTGTTTTTCACATAGATTACAATTTTTTCCTTCCAATATAATTTATTAGAGAGCACTGATAAGTTTTTGCTTTCTGCAAAAAGCTTGCTCCATGCATTCAGAAAAACCCCTAAATTTTTTAGCATTTCTAAATGTTACTAAGTGTTCTGAGTCCAAAAATGTACAAATATCAGGTGGCATTTTTTGACCAATTGCCATACTTTCTCTCTGTTATGTATAACAGCCAAGAAAGTAACTGGCAGTGTAGTCACTTTGTTTTGTTTCAACTGCAAGCACCTTGTGTTCACAATATGGCTATTACAAATGCTCTATGAGAAGACTGTCACAGCTATAAACAGTCATACTTCAAGAGGTGGTAAGTCAGGCTATATCTGTACAATATCTTTAGGTTGCATAAGACATAAACTTCAAAATGAACTTATACCAAAAATAAGGCATGTAAATGAGAAAACAAACAGTACTTCACTATTAACTGTACACAACAGTGATAAATTAGAACTATTTGAATTGGAAAATATATATACACAGAAAAATCTTTCATCCAGAAAAAATAAAAAGTGTTTGTGAAAAACTTTGTTGCACAAAAAACATTTTCTTGTAATACTTAAGTTTAATATAAAATGCAATATTTTTTTAAATTTAATCATTCTTAATGTTGAAGTCTACATATCTAAAATGAGATACAGTTGAACCAAATGCATTTTTATGAATATTTTATGAGTTTAAACTAATTTTTTTTTTTGATATTGAAATATTATTTTTTACAATTCATAAATTTCCAGTTTATTTTCTAGCATTATAAGAAGCAACAAGTAATTAAAGCAATAGCTAATAAATTGAAAGATGAACCAAACAACTTTAAGTTTTCTGTTATTAGTGCTTCTTACCATGCTTATGGCAAGGCCTGCTAGAAGCTTTGCTATTAACTATTTTAGTAGGTATAAAATGAGAAAACAGAAGTACAATGCTTGAAGAGATTTTACAAGTTATGAAAGCAACCTTGGACATCAGTTTGTTTTATAGAGAAAGTGGAAGCAAATATTTGCTGCTGTATGGATTCTGACTATGGAAGTGAACCCAATAAAAAATCAACATCTGAATTTTTAATGAAAGTGCTTGAGAATAAAGTTCTATAGACAACCAAAAGATAAACCTCCATAGCATCATCATCAAGCAAAGTTGAATATGTTAGAGTTAAGGTCTTTTAAAATTAACTCTAGTTTCAATATGTTAACGATAATTCTTCCGCTCCAGCACAGGATAGAATGACAAATTATAAATACCAGCAATGTCTTCAAAAACAAACTTTATTGAAATTATTTACACAGATCACAAGACAGTTACAAACTTTACAGATTGCACAGAGAGAGAGAGAGAGAGAGAGAAAAAATACAACTATAAAAAAATGGCGATTTCATTTTAAAACATGGGGATGAGATCTCGTGCTCTTCCTTATGTTGATTTTCTGTCATGTCTGTCTTGAGCCCAATCAGCATCACGGTAGACCTTTAGCTCAGGTTTTTCAGTTGATGAAATTTGTAGTCACAGATATTTTGTTGATTTAAGATAACATATAATTCTATTAACAGCATTCCAATCTCGCTGTCTTGGATTTTCACACTTTCTGCTAAAAACGTGTGTTGAAGCTGCTATACCTGGTCTTGTAACAGTTGAAATATATAAGAGATCCCCCATTGCCTGCCTATATTTTGTGTTATTTTGAAGCAGGTTTTCTTAACCTTATAGTTTGTAATAGTCTGTTTCCATTGGAGTAGAAGCTGGCTTTGCATCTTGCAAATTAAACAAGCTGTTCTATTTTATTTTGTTGACTCAACAAAAAACTTCCATCTTTCTTTCTTTTTACTTCTATTTCCAAGCAAAATTTTACTTCTCCTAGATTTGTAATCTCATAGTTTTCTTTAAGAATTTCTACTATTTTGCTAATGCTTATTTCACTTTCTGCACTAATCAAAACAGCATCCACATATAGCACACAATATACAATATTTTTTCCTTCATCCTTGGTAAACAAACAGGTATCATCCTTGCTTTGTTTAAGACCATAAATAGCCTTTTGTAGCTTGCATACTTTTCCTTCTTTTCCTTTTTCTTCAAATCCTATAGGCTGTGTCATGTAAACATCTTCATTTAATCTTCCATTTAAAAATGCAGTTTTAACATCAACATGATATACTTTCATTCCTTTATATGCAGCTGCAGCTAAAACTGCTCTAATAGTTGTATGCTTAACAACTAGTGCAAATGTTTCATCAAAGTTAGTTCCAAATCTTTGATTATAGTCTTTTGCTACTAATCTTGCTTTGCATTTTGTTTCTCTTCCATTTTCATCATACTTTGTCTTGAAAGCCCACTTGCATCCTATTGCTCTTTTGTCTTGTGGTAGATCAACTAATTTCCAAGTTACTTTTTATTTAGGGAATTAATTTCTTCACTCATTGCTTTTTTCCATTTTAGCTTTTCTTCCTTTGGTAATTCCAATATTTCTTCAAATGACTTTGGATCTCTATGTGTAATTTTAACTTCAGCTTTAAATGTCAGTTTTTCTAGAGGTATACCTTTGGTTGATCTTTCAGACCTTCTTAGTGAAATTTCTGATTCTGTTTCTTCTTCTGTTTGCATTTCTACACATTCTGTTTCTGCTTCTGAGTCCTGCTCTTCTGGAAAACTTTCATTAACATGGAAAAATTGGAAGACATCTTTAGTATTCCATAGTTCATGTATTCCTTTATTTTCTTTTCTTGTATTTATTTCTAGGAATTTTACTGATCTGTTTATTATTACATTTCTATCACCTGTGTAAATCCTGCATCCTTTATGTCTTTTATCATACCCTACAAATGCACCTTCAATGGCTTTCTTATCTAATTTTCTTCTTTTATGCTTATTTATGTAGGCATATGCTTTACATTCAAAAATTTTTAAATGGTTTAGGTTGAGCTTTCTTTCATTCCACAACTCATATGGTGTTTTATTTATTGTTTAAGTAGGTAATCTGTTCTGCAAATAATTTGCAGTTATCGCTGCTTCTCCCCAAAAGGATTTTGCAAGATTTGCATTTATTATCATAGCTTGTGCCATTTTCATGAGAGATATGTTCTTTCTTTCTGCAACACCATTTTGTGCAGGAGAATAAGGTATTGTAGTTTGATGAGTGATTCCTTGTGTTGTTAAATATTTTTCAACATTTTTGTTACAGTATTCACCACCATTATCTGATCTTAGTGTGTTGATTTTTTTTTCTAAATTTAATTGTAGTTGAAGCTACAAATTATTTCATCTTTGCAAGAACTTCATCTTTGCTTTCAACTGAATTAGATATACCATAGTAAATCTAGAAAAATCATCTACAAATGTAAGGAAGTATCTGGTTCTTCCCATACTATCTACTTGCATTGGATCATATATGTCATTATGGACCAATTCCAATGGCTCTTTAGCTCTGTAAGTAGACTTCTTTGGATATGGCAATTCAGTGAAATTTGCTTTAATGCATATTGGACATTGTAAATCATGTTTACAATTATGCAACTTTATTCCCTCTACTAAGTTTTCTCTTTCCATTTGTTTCATTGAGTCATAATTTTTCTGACCTAGTCTTTGGTGCTATTTAATTATGCTATTTTTATTTATACAATTTTGCATTAATTGAGCACTGTTTACTCGCTCTTGCATATTTGTTGCAGCAAATAACTTGTAAATACTATCTGTGGCAATGCCTATAGCAATTAAGTCATCATCTTTCTCTATGGTGCATACATTATTTTCAAATTTGACTAAACAACCTCTATTAGTTATGGTTTTTACTGAGAATAAATATCCACGTAACTCTGGAATATAAAGTACAGTACATTCTCTAAGAGAATTTCTTCTTCATTTCTGTGAGAATATGAGGGCACAGGGTCAGTTCCCTAATTGCCACTTACACGTCGAGTTGGTAAAACTCGCTTACTTTGTCACTGAATGGCTTTTAGGAGGGCAAATTTCCAAGTGGAGAGTGTGTTGGTAAGTCAATAGGTTCCATTTCTGAAAGTACAGGAGACAGGTTTTAACAAAAACAAAATAAAGGTTTAATGAATTTCTAATTCTAAATACATTCAGGTTATAGAAGACTAAATGTGGTTAAACTATGATTACAAGACATATTCTTTACAACAGGGCTAATCTTTAACAGTATGCCTATTTTCATTGAGAGAGAGAGAGAGTTTTCAGACCACTAGTAATTACCTCTATGTGTTGATGGAGAGCTATTGGCAACAATCTGTTACGATTATTGAAGTATCGTAGTCCTCATTCAATGTTTCCTCAGCAGGATCGGGATGCGGAAGCTAAATTGTGCACTATCTCAAGTACAACTTTTAGTTGATTGCCCTGAGCTTCTGGTTACTCCATCTTTTGTAGCATTATTGTGGGAAAGGGGACACATGATTGTCTGTTGTTGATGATGGCTTGCATTCTTTGACGACTGTGTGTCAACTTTCCCACTTGATTGTTGATACAAAAGGTGACATCTGATCTGATACTCCACAAAGAGAGGTTTTTCTATCGGGGATGTTTACAATTCGAAATAAAAAAACATTTAACCTTGATTTCAAAATTCCCTAAAAATCCACAGTCTCACATTTCCATAAAGTGTTCTGATCTTTATACAGTCTTCAGTTTTGCTCCATTGGCAATGGTGATAGAGTTGCCTTTTTGCTTGTTAAGTTTTTGGAAAAATTTTAAGTTTCCTGTCACCTGAATCAATGACCCAATCATTGTCAACATAATTTGTTTCATATGATTGTACCTTTAGTACTTATCTTTCATCTTGTTTATCCTTTTCTACACAAATAGTGGATTTGTATTACTTATCATAATTCTTGGGAACATTTTTATTTGTTCTTTTTCTCTTAAAATCATCTTCACTTGCCTTATTTTTGTTGTTTAAATGCCAACATGAATTTTTATAATGATTACTTTTGTAGCAGTAAGTGCAAAATTTCTTTTCTTTGTAGTTCCACTTTTCTGTATTTTTGCTTTTAAATGCTAATGCTTGTCCTGATGAACTTTGTTTACTTTGCAAATGCCTTTTATATTCATCTATCAATTTACTTGTTATATATCCTTGTGTTAGTTCTTTTTCATCCTTACTTTCCAGTGCATTTATTAAAGTAAAATATGACTCTAGTAAACTGCATAGCAGTATAACACATAAGTATGACTCATTGATCTGTTCACCAATGCTTTCCAGGCACTCCTTCAATCCAAGAATATCTTTTATATGATCCTGCATTTTCATTTTCTCATCATTCTTTGTAGAATAAAGCTTTCTAAGCAAAAATAATTTGCTTGTTAAATTAGCTTGTTCGTGGACACTTTTTAACTTTTTCCACGTTTCCAAAGCAGTAGATTCATGTATTACATTAATTATTTGAGAATCTGAAATATTTAAGCATATTAACGCTCTAGTGATACAATTACACCTATAGTATGCATTGTCTGGTTTTTCAGGTTTTACACCGAATACTGCATCATATAAATTTTCTTTAATTAATAGCATCTCCATTCAGAACTTCCATATTGAATAATTTTTATCATTTAATTTTTTAATACTATTATTATCTTCTTTTAAAACTACCATTTGTGATGATTTACTTTTGCCAAGAGAAAAAACTTTTAATATGGCACTATAATATGACAATAGTTAAGATGCCTTTTGCAGTAATCAACAACTCATTGGCAATAATCTTCTATTTTGCTTATGACTCATTAATTGATGTCATAGCTTATTGAGACATGCATTTTACATCCTTATCAGCAATCTCAGTCTTATAATCAATGCTAGGGTTAAGGTCTTTTATCATTAACTCTAGTTTTGATATGTTAATGATAATTTGTTTGCTCACAGCGCAGGATAGGATGACAAATTATACGTACCAGCAATCTCTTCAAAAAACTTTATTGAAGTTATTTACACAGATCACAAGGCACTTATGTATTTTACAGACTGCACAGAGAGAGAGAAAAAACACAACTATAAAAAACAGGGATTTTTATTTTAAAACATGGGGACAAGATCTCATGCTCTTCTCACAAGCACTATTGTTGAGGAGTTGCTAAACATGGAGGTCTAACAGAATATGCTATTTTAACAGCATCAGCTGAATTACTTTGACCAAAGAACTTATTAACTGACTTTTGTCTCCTTCTGTAGATGACAAGACTCAAGACTTGTCATATGTCTAGGAAGTGCCGTATACAAAATGGCAACCAAACTCTTCCAAACAGAATGCTGCCATTTTAAATAATTGCATTGTATGTACAGTATGTTGAAACATTATTAACTGACTTTGAATAACTAGTAAAAATCCTTCTAAAATTCTGGAAGATAATTAATCTTGTATTCATCTACTTTCAAAATGGGAATATAAACGTATATAACAAGTTGATGTCAAATACAATTTTATAAAAGATTTTTATGAAATGAATTTGATAACCATTGAATACGTGTGTTTCAAGGCATTTCTAAGCATGCAATTCACTAAAATTCACAGTAGATTAGGACTGATCAAAATAATTAGAACAAAAGATAACCCAGTGATGTAAAATTAGAAGTGTTAGAATATTGGAATTTAATATTCCAAGAATTGTTCCAACAAACACAGAAATTGACATACTGACTGGGTTTGCTCTACATTTTTTATACAAATATAAACATCTACAGTCCTATTTTCATATTAAAACCAAATGATTGCTGAATTGTCAGGCTATAGTCATGCTATTAACTGCTAATTAAATTTCAAGTAATTTGTGTATAAGTAGTAGTTAGTAGCATTAATGTAGTCCAATTTAATCTGGCATTTTTTGTATTCTGCATATAAAAATGCACATAAAACTTAACTCAAACGCAAGTAAAGTTTGATTTTTATTTTTGTAGATATTAATCTAAACTCTAAAGCAGGGGTGTCCAACCTTTTTGTTTCTCTGGGCCACATTGGAAGATGTCATGGAGTTTTGGTTCACAAGTATATTATATATACTTGTGGCCTAATCCTTAAATATACAAGTATATTTAAGGATTAACATGTCTAGATTATATATAGTGCGCACCAAAATTTTGGCAAAATGCTGAATAATGTAAATTTTTGTAGGACATCATGGAGAATTTCATAATTTGGACTGTAAGTTTCCAAGCAGAATTGGAAGAAATACATTTGATGGTTTAGTAATCACGAGAGAGAATATTAATAAGTATTAAATCTTTATCACGAAAAAGGATATTTTAAAAAATTACTTCTACAGACACTTTTAATTTTTACTTAGAGATAGATAAATTCATTTATTATAAAGGAGACAAACAAAAATTTATTTGAAAAACATAAATATTTGTTTTATTTGGGTCTCTAATTATTAATAAAAAAAAATGACAAAACACCATTTTAAAGTGCATTTTTATTCGACTAATATAATATATTTATAAATAATATATAGCCCAAAAAGTAGCCAATGTGCCAAATGATATTTTTTATGCCAAACTAAAAAAAAGGGTAGCCAACTTTGGCACAAGTAGCCAAATCATGCAACACTGGAAGGAATACTAAATAAAGCTGGAGTTGGGACTGAAAAGGATTATAGACCCAAATGCGGGGAAGAAGAGAAAGGACAAAAGATAAAGAAGCGAGGAAGGTTGGAAAATTAAGGGTCTATATTTGCTTAACAGAAAGTCTATTTAACCTTTCTCACTACTTTTTATCTTTTGGCCTTTCTCTCCTTTCCCTGAATTTGGATCTATAATTCTTTGAGTCACAACTCCAGCTTTACTTAGTATTTCTTTCTCATTCACACTTTTCAAGTATTTGAAAATATTTCCTTTCCACTCAAAAATAAAATATGTATAAAGGTTTATGGCTTTGTGAAACTTCTTTTATTGAGTTTATGCCGTTGAAATAAATAAATAAAACAAAATAAAAAAATTTGTTGATTTTGTTTACACGCTTATTGGGCCACATTTAAACTTGCCTTGGGCCGCATGCAGGCCGCAGGTTGGACACCTCTGCCCTAAAGTCAAAAGAACTACTGGATTATTGGGCTAAAGTTAATTTTAATAATTAATTAATGAGTAATTTGATTAGAGGAAGACAGAGATAGTATAGTCAAATTACCATACTTTATAATTAATTATTAAAATTAGCTTTAATATAGTCTGATAATCTGGTAGTTTGTTTGGCTTTAATTTAAAAAATTGGGTTATGGATTGAATGTTCATATATAATCTATAAATATTCAAAGAATAGGAAAGAGTAGAATAAAATAGTTTGAACTATTAAGCTACAATGATTGTTGGTAGATAGATGAGCTAATTCTACTTAATTGCAATTTATTTTACTAATATTCAAATGCTAACATAATTTTTCAACATTGTTGGTATCCATCATCTGGAAGGTATCTTTTCCAGTTTTTATGCTTGATAATGTAATTATCATTTTTCATAATTATTAGTTTACATTTTTATGTTTTTAAAATAACATTTTAAAAATTAATATCTAACTTTTGTCAGTATTTGTATTTGCATTTATAATTCACTGAAACGAATGAAAGTTTTCATTTTTGTATAGATTGAAGAACTTTCTGCCAGAGGAAACTTTAATGAAGATGATATTGCTGAAGCTCTTACAGCAAATCAGGGTAATATTGAACTGGCATATGCAGATCTTGTTAAATCTACTTTACAACCTTTTCTTTATTCATCATGGGAGCAAAAGGATAAGCAGAGTATTCACGAAACTGAAGAATCTACTGTCTTAACTGTTTCAGAGTCTGAAAAAAGAAAATCTCCTAGTTTGATAAGTAAACTTCATTCTAGAATGAAAGATATAGAAAAAAGAGAAAAAGAAACTTTAGAACATGAAAAACATTTTTTACACTTGACTGAGCAAAAGGAAGAAAAATCTCTTTCAGAAGAATTAATGAAATCTGAGGTGAAGGATAGCACAGAAATTGGAGATAGTCAAAAATCTATTGAATTATTGAAGAGTGATATTCATATTCAAGAAGAAATAATTCCTGCTGATGAAAATGATAATCTTAAAATGCAACATGTAGAAAAAATAAAAGAAGAAAGTGAAAGGAAATTATTTTCAAATATTGAAGAAACTGAAAACATTTCACAAACCAAAAATATTGAAACTGATAAAAAACCAGTTTCTGTTGAGACATATGAATCAGAATCACCAACTGCATTTAATATAAAGCTGATAGATACAATTAAAACTGAAGCTCCAATGTTACAAGCTTCAAAATCATTGACATCTGTTGCAAGACCTTTAACACCTGATATGTCTAAGAAGAAAACCTCAATTTTACAAACTTCAAAATCTTTATCTTTTGAAAGTACTGAAAGTAGAAAACCAATTTTACATACTACAAGACCTTTAACTCCTGTGATTAAAAGTAGCAAATATGAAGATGACTTTTCAAGAGCTATCTCATCAGAATTACTTGCTGAAGAAATGGGTGATTTATTTGCAAGTGAAGAAACAATGCAGCAAATTGAAACTGAAGTACCTGTTGTTGAAAAAAAAGAAGAAATCCAAGAAGCAGAAGTAAAAGAGTGTATAATGGAAGAAAAAAGTCCAGATATAAAAGAAAAGATAGAGAAAGATCATACATCTACAAGTGAGGAGGATTTTGAAGATGCTCCAGGTGTTGCTCAAGTAGAAGATATTACAGAATATGGTAGTGTAAAATATGGAGATTATGGGTTTGCGTCACCAGCAGCACAAATGTATGCATCATTGATACAGTCAGCTGAAGTCACCAGTCCAAAGAAGAAAAAACAGAAAAGTGGGAAAACTGAAATAACAAAACCATCACCTGAAACTGCTCCATCTTTAAAGTGGGTCTCACCAGGTAGGACTATCCTTGCTGAAGATAAATGGCCAGTGAAACCAAATTTGACAATTCCCCAAACTCATACTGAGGAATCTCATGTAAAAGGTCATAAAACTTTTAAAGAACAAATAGTACCAGCATCAACCTTCCACAATGGTAAATTGTTATATGAAAAATCAGATCAATTGGATTCAAATGGTAATAAAATAGCTTCAGACAATGAAAGTTTAACATCAGATACCTATGCAGATGCATTTGAAGAACACGCATCATTTCGATCTTTTAAATCATTTTCAGATACTGAAAGTTTGGCATCTGATGCTTACACTGATGCTCTGGAACCCACTTCTCCTCCTCCATTTTATTCTGAATACAAATCAGATACTGAAAGTTTGATATCTGATACCTTCACAGATGCACCAGAAGAATTATCTTCACAGGCAGAGTTCAAAACTCCACCAATGACTGATACTGAAATAGATTCAGAAGGAAAGGAACAATTCAAAAAACATTCAATGTCAGTATCTGATAAATTGAAACCTGAACAAGTATTAGAACAAAGTGCTAAATTAAGTGAAATACATACAGTGGAAAAGACCATAGAAGAAAGTGAACAAGAATCAGTTCCATTAGAGAATGTTGAATCATGGGCTGTAGCAAGCTTATACGAATCACTTATGTCAGAAGTGGTTGTAGAAAAAAAGCCACTAAAGTCTAAGTCTAGCACAAAAAAGTCTGTTAAAGACAGTAAATCCACAGAGAAAAAGAAGGAAATTCCATTAACAGAAGAGAAAATTTTTAAACAGAAAGAAATGAAAAGTGTAGAAGGGAATATATCCCAAAAGTTAATTTCTGAGGAAGACATAAGCAAGCATATGAGAAAAAAAGAAACAAAAGAAAATATTGAAATATCAGAAAAGTACACCAAGGAAATACCAGTACAAAAAGAAGTTGTAATCAAATCTGAAGAATTGAATGTTGAACTTCCAACATCAGCAATAGAAAAAACTGAACAGATAAATTTATCAGGTACTATTGAATATACTTCAAACATAATATCTGAAACATCATTGGAAGATACATTAACAATAAAGGATAGATCTTTAGAAAAAGAAAGTACATATAATGTCACTGTTGTGCCAAAACTATCTATTGATGATAATTTACCTGTTGCAAAAGATACTGTAAAAGCTGAAAAAGAAGGTGAAATTTTTTCAAAACAATATCAACTTCAAGAAGAAAAAGATAAGGAGATCATACCACTTAAAAAAGATGATGAAACTTTATTAAAACAGGAAAGTTCACAATATTTCCAACTTCAAGAATCAGTCAAAAATATTTATGATTATGAAAAAAGAGAAACTATTCCTGAAGATTTAAGTACAGATATAGGAGACATTGATTCTAAATTAGTTGAACAGAATTTAATTGTAAAAGAAATAACTTTGAAAGATGAATCTGATATGACAACTTACGAATTACAAAGAGATAATGATATTCTCACACAGAATATTTCTGTTTTGGAATCAGATGAACAAAATATTAGAAAAGAATTTCATGAGATGACAACAGAAACAGATATTGATAAAATACAAGTCACTTATGCAGACTCACAAAAAATTGAAACTGATAAAATGTTTTATGATGAAGATAAACATTTTTCCAAATTGAGAGAACCAATGGAAACAGAATTCACTTATTCAATGGATGATAAAATAGTTGAAAAATTTGAACAAACTGAATCTGAAAACTTACCTGAAGAAGAATTACAGTTTTATGATGATGATGATTATTTTATTACTGAAGAAAGAGAACAAGATTTGCAATACTTGCAAGAAGAAGTACAAGAACAATTTTCAGCTGAAATTGCTGATACATTTGCAGATGTTGAATCTTCTCTTAAACAAATAACAGAAGAGCTGGAAGAAGAAGAGAGATTATTTCTATCAGAGCCATTTTTAAAAGAAACAAAAGAAATATTTACAGTACAAGAAGAGAATATTATAGAAAAATCACCTAAGTCTTCCCTAATTGAATTCAGTGAACAATCACTACAAAAAGATGATGTTACATCTCTAACTGAAAAATTTCCAGCAACTGGTGAAACATATGATCATAGAATTTTACCTGAAGCTGAAATCAAAAGAGAAGAAATGAAATCAGAAGGTGAGAAAGCAAAACGAAAAATGGAGGATAGAGAAAAATTATTTTCATTAGATACAAAGTATAGTAAAGTAGATAACAGTGCAGAATATGCATTACTTGAAGCTACTCAAATATCTTCTGAACGTATAAAATTGGAGGAAGTAAAAGATTTTGGAATAAAGATAAAAGAAGATCATGAAAAATTAAGTAAAACAAAAGAAGAAACACAAGATATTAGTGCTAAAGAAGAAACAATAAAACAAATTGTAGGAAGTTCAGAAGTACCAATTTCTGAAGAATATACAGAAGTACAGTCATCTGATTATAAAATAAAATTTCCTAAAATAGAAAAATGTGAAGTACTAGGGATGAAAGCAATTTTAACTCAACAACCTAAAGAAACTGATTTGGAAAAAGCTAAAGAAATAGAAACATTGAAAGAACATTTCACTGAGAGATCTGAAATAAGATCATTAGTTGCTGAAGAACATTTTGAAGAGAAAACAATTACATGTGAGAAACAACATGTGAAATTAGAAAATTTAAAAGAATTTGGAATGAAAGCAGCAGAACTCCAACAAATAGAAGACATAGGAATGGAAGAAACAAAAGATATTAGTCAAAAAGAAACACCAAAAGAATGCTTTGCTGAAAGTTCTGAAGCAGAGACATCAGCTTCCGAAGAATATGCTGAAGAAAAAACACTTACATACAAGAAACAACACTTGCAATTGAAAAGCGTAAAAGAATTTGGAATGAAAGCAGCAGAACTCCAACAAGTAGAAGACATAGGATTGGAAGAAACAAAAGATATTAGTCAAAAAGAAACACCAAAAGAATGCTTTGCTGAAAGTTCTGAAGCAGAGACGTCAGCTTCCGAAGAATATGCTGAAGAAAAAACACTTACATACAAGAAACAACACTTGCAATTGAAAAGCGTAAAAGAATTTGGAATGAAAGCAGCAGAACTCCAACAAGTAGAAGACATAGGATTGGAAGAAACAAAAGATATTAGTCAAAAAGAAACACCAAAAGAATGCTTTGCTGAAAGTTCTGAAGCAGAGACGTCAGCTTCCGAAGAATATGCTGAAGAAAAAACACTTACATACAAGAAACAACACTTGCAATTGAAAAGCGTAAAAGAATTTGGAATGAAAGCAGCAGAACTCCAACAAGTAGAAGACATAGGATTGGAAGAAACAAAAGATA